TTTTTTTTTTTTCAATTAAACCCCTTTTTTATTATCTTTGTTAAAAAACTTGCCAAACATTTTAGAAAAGGAATTTTGCTAAGAAAAATGCTACAAGTACATAATAAATGTACATAGAGGTGTACATAATACTCACATGGAATGGAGTCCACTTGATTTTTTATTTTTGGTCGGTCTCACTCAATTATGTACCTATAACATTTCTCGTTTGCAAATATAACTCTTTTGTGGCACCATTTTTATTTTTTTCAATGGCAATTCAATGCAGTTTTAAAATGTTATTTAGTCGGTCAAATGCGATGGAAAGTTTTTATACAACTTCAGTTTGTATAAAAGAATGCGATGGAAGTATTTTTCACCCACCTCCATTTTGGTTTGATTTTCCTTGTAGTATTCTTTTCCAAGGCCTTATTATGGTGATTTTTAACCTTAATCCTTTCACAGTCATACTTGTAAGTTTTCAAAGCATGAAATTATTATTGGACTAGTCATACATGAATTTATTGAATATGCACACCATATCATGCCAACAATTCTTTAGGCCACACGGTACTGCTGTGCCATGGACTAGGCAAACTTAACGGTTAGACGACCATACTTCTTTATTGAATTATACACAAATAACATGTTTTAAAAAAAATACTACAAATAAAAATATTACATTTCCAAATAAAATCATTGATCAAAGTTCCACAAGTTAACAAGGACAACAAGTTGTTAACAAACACCAAATTCCTTCCTAAATATTGCACTTCCTATAAAGAAAAGAAAGATAAAGTAACATCATATCATATAAAAGCCATATTATAATCAACTAGGCCATCTCTAATCATTTTCCATACGAGCTCAACGAAACATAGTTCTCAACAAAAGGGAATATCTTGCCCACCCTTTGACTACAGACATTCGACAGGTTCATCACCTTATTCATTGCACAATCTTGGACCGTCAGATGACCCCCCAACCCCAACTGTAGATAAAACAACTTATCATTCTCAAAGAGGCCCATAAAACTATGCATCTTATTGACGAGAAACGTTGACTCTAGTCGCCACAACAAATTGGCGTCGTCCCACACCCAAAGTTCAAAATCATTATACTTCACGCCGTCTACCCACATACTAGTCGAAGCCAAAAAACCGAGTGAGCCCCAATATTCAACGAGCTTCATATGACAAAATTTATATCTATTCAACTTATCAGTCGGGGGAATAGGAATATATAATGAATCAAACTCCTCCGTAGCAAAGTTAAAAGGCCGGATAGAATTGGAGTCTATGTAATTTAAGTCTACGATATCTAACCTGTAATAAGTGCCATTTGCGTGAATTTTTGCAAATGGATCGCCGTACGGATAAAGGCTAATTGGATTAAAGTAGACGTGTTTCCATGAGTTAGTCTTGAGAGAATATAATTCAGCCACGGCAAGGGAGCGATCATATCTTTCCAGAAATCTTATCACCTTGTAGTCGTTACATGTGGAATCATACCCAAAACCAAAATGATTGCAGATTTTCTTCTTATAGTTCTTATACCTGCTATTTCACATGATAGAGAACATCAATGTTTTATAAAAATGACATACTTCCAATTTTTCCTAAAAAAAAAAAAACAATACAAGAAATGAAAAATTAAACTAAAAAGAACTGTCCAACCACAATCAAATACAAAAATATGTGGATCACGTTAAGTTATATTGAACTTAGCATAACAATTAAAAAACATACATTCTATAACATTAGAGTTGACTACTACCAAAGCTTTGATTGAGGAGCCTTCCTTAGGCTCGCTTTGTTATATAGCATTTCCATCAAACCCTTGGAAGAGTAGGGCTCCTCTATGAAAGTTTCCCTTCGAGGAGTAAGGCTCCTCTATCAATCAAAGCATTAGATGTAATAGCTTTTCTATCAAAGCCTTTGAAGAGTAAGACTCCTCTATCAAAGCCTTCAATGCCAAACCTTTGAAGAGTCTTTCACAAGACTTAGACTCAGTAGTCAACTGTAATGTAACTTAATTGAGAACAAACGGGTCCAAGGTAAAGGGAGATGTAGGAATGATTTTGAGTTTGTTGGTTGTCGGATTCCAAATAGCCTCCTGGGAAATGTCGGGATCTTTACCCCAAATGTTATCATACAACAGTAAAATCAAACCATTGCAAGAATCATATGGATGAAAGACACAGTCAGGAAAGGGATTATCGATCTTAGTTAATATTGTGGGCTCCAAATTCTCTTTGTCGATTGAAACTACGACATAATCCAAGTCTTCTATCCTTGGGTGCTGCTCCACAGTAATATAAACTTGCTCCTCCTCTTCGATTGAAACAAACTTGTATGCAACCAATTGTCACAAGTGGTAGAGAAAGTTTTACACAAATTTAACTTACTCTTATTATTCTTCTTCCAACTGATGGGGAAAGAAGAAGGTTTGAATAACGGGTTCTTCTTCGAACCGACGGGGAAAGATGAAGGTTTGAATAAGGGGTTTGGGTGAGGCCATCTCCAGCCCTTATCTTTACTCTAGCGCAGACTTTACTCTACTCTAGAGTAGAGTTGAACATTCATCTCCAGTCCTTATCTCTACATTTTACTCTATTAAATATATTATTTTTTTATTCATTTTAAAAATGAATTGTAATAAATTGAATTTCTTAAAGAAGATACATATACATCTATGTACCGATTCAAAACTGTTATTTTTGAAAATATATGAATTAGTGCAAATTTACACACTAGACCATATATGGTTTAGAGCATAAAAAAAAAAAAAAGGGAAAAATCTGGCGCTGCGCTACAGTGTTGCGCTACAATTGGCGCAACACTGTTCCCATATCTGATGTAGCGCAAGATTTCAGCGCAGGGTTGGAATAGATATTTGACACAACTCTAGTGTTTTGCGCTAGAATATTGCAGCGCTGGAGATGGTCTTAAAAATCACCGACGCCATCTCTATCTCTCTGCCGGAACAGGAAGAAACACGCCTCTATGTATCACGCGCCGAAACACTGATGACGATAGTGTATCGCTCAATTTTGTGTAAAAACTCGCGCTAACGGCCTTGGTTCGAACGTGATAAAATGTGTAAACTCGCACTGTACTATTGGGACCGGTTAAGAATTATGCATGTCACAGACTATTTACGAATTAAACCCTAAGCGCAGCGGAACTAGAAGCGAAGGCTCAACGCGTACTGTTTAATATTTTGCCGACTATGAGACTTTTCTGATTTAAGGATTTCCGTTATAGGAGATCGTCTGATTCTCATGTTCGTTGGGCAGCCGAACTTAGCTTTGCGATCACCGTTGAATCATCCTGGAATCGCCTTGAGCTCACCAATACTCTCCCGAACCTACTGGACCGCTCTCGGACCCGGTCTGGGGATGCTGGAGTGAACCGAGTGTGTTCTGGGCCGAATCGGGCTGGCTGGGATACTGTCCACGTCGTTGGGCCGCGTTTGGCAGGCGCTGGGCCGCGCGCTGTGAAATGAGCCGCCAAGCACGCTGTTGGGCCGTGTGGGAGTGGGCTGGACCAAGGCAGATAGCGCGCTGGCTAGAGCAGAGGGAAGACGTTGCGGGCCGCACGGGCGGGATGCGGCTCGCGTGATTTTCTTCTCTTTCCGCTGGGCCTCCTCGCGGGCTTCGTATGTTGGGCCTCCACCATCGCTGGGCTGCAGAGCGCCTGGCTTGCAATGGGCTGCGGACGGGCTTGGAATGCTGAGTTATGGCGCGAAAATCCGCCAGGCATGCTGGGCTGCGAACCAACGTCTGCTGCTCTGTGCGCGGCAGCGGCTCGCCGAAGTTCGCCTGCCCGGCCGCCTTGGCTTGTGGCCGCCGGAAAGTGACCAGAGGGTCACCGGAAGTCGCCGGTCATCGTGGAATGGTCCCCAGTCGATTCTAATACATCCGATTAACATAATTCTCGCCTTTTGTGAAGAACGAACAACCCCGCGAATTACATAAACATTATGGGGTATACATATATATATATATATATTAGTTTGTTACCGGCTGTGCACATCACAGCCAACCCAATTTTTGTCATAATTAAGTATATAATTAATTTATAATCAAATTATATGTTATGTTACGATTTATGGTATATTTCAAATAATCACCTATAGAAATTACGGCTAAATATTTAAGGAAATGATATAAGCCGTAAAAATAATCATTTTTAAGATACCTTAATTACTCAAATCATTTGAATTTGGATGATTTACCTAAAGATGGAAATTCCGGCTGTAATATCAATTATATGATTTGGTAAAAATCTTCCAACTAAATTGTGTAATTAATTATTTAATAAGTATTTTATATTTTTTCATGTAATCTTTTTGTGAAATGCATTTTTAATATACCTTGTTACGCAAATTGTGTAAATCCGAATAATTTATTCAATCTACAAATAATTACTAGAACTATGAAAATATCAACTAAAATAATCAATTATGCGATTTGCCAAAAACTATTCTAAAAAAAATTGTGTTAATGATAGTTTTATTTAAATATTATTTAATAATTTTTATTTCTTTTTTGTGTATTTAATTACTTAAATTGTGGTTAATTAAGAAAATAATTATATCATAAAAATTTAAATTTTTAAGATATTATAATTACACAGTCGAGTAAATTTGGTTGATTTTTTCAACCATAATTTCTTTATAAAATAATTTCAAAATAATTTGATTAATGGCAGCTTCTATTTAATTATTTTTTAATAACTGTTTTTTGCGTCTTTTTTATTTATATCTATAAAAAACGTGGGTCTTGATTTTGTTTTGTACGCTGGGCAATTTATTTTAACATCATTTTTTGTATTTTATCGACAAAGTATGAAATCGAATTATTTGGTATACTATATATTAATCCAATATACCTGTTTATGGTCAAAAATGGTATCTCACTATTTTTTTTTTTTTAATAGTGCTAAGCATTTTACTTGATATTAATGGAAGAAAAATCTGGATAATACTTTACTTTGTAAATATGCGTGGAACATATCAAATTACTTCGTTTATATAAAGGTTTGTATTTACTTGAATCACATTATAGTCAAATCGAATTTCTGAATAAAAATTTTAAAATTACACCTATTTCGAAATGAATATAATGTAATTTATTAGTAGTTACTTGCACCGTACGGGTCGTGTACCAATTTTAAATAGACATATTTAATGTAATTTTGCAAAATTTATATTTCATATAACATTTTCAACAAATTAATATAGGTAAGTTGTATTACATATAGATTCCATATTTTTAATTTATAAATATTATTTAATAAGTATTTTTAATTTATAAATATAAAAGAATATTTCTTACCCGAATTCGTACTAGTATAAGCCGAATAAAAGAAGAAGAGAAAAATATTTTAATATATAGGCCCTGATGATCTGCATATTGGGCCTTTACCGGTTTCAGGCTCTATAACTAGGCTGAAGGTCTTCAGTCCGAGAAGAATTTCTACAGTCCTACTCAATGACTCTCAGTTTGAAGCGAGATCGACGGCTGAGAGAGACGCACATAGTCCCGGTGTGTGGTGTGTATTTCCATTGAAACAGCACGGCTTTCTTGAGAAGCTCTCTTTCTTTCTTTCTCTCTCTCTCACGCACGCGTGTTAACCGTTTGTTTTGATATTTCTTTTGTTCTTCTCTTTTCAATTGTTAAACTAGGGTCAGGGGCTCGAAGGGTTGTGGAATTTTACTGTTTGAGGAAATATTGGAGTCGATTTACTCCATTTTTTTGGTGCTCTTTTAGTTGCTTTCGCTCGTGAAGTAGAGTGCATTTTACATGATACCCAGTTCATAATTTTGTCCATATCTCTTTTTTTACCCCTCATTTGTTGTACAGAATCGGTAAAAATTGTCTCGTGGAGGTAAAATTCCGAGGGTGAAATCGATTGGCAATTGCAAAGGTCTTGATAATGGTAAGCCTAAGCATTTTATTTTCATGGACATGGTTTGTTCATTTTTTGTCATGGTTTCTTTTTTCTGTTCGGTGTGTGTTCCATCACTTGGTTATGTCTTGGGAGGAATGTGGAAGGAATATTTTATAGCAATCTTTTAACTATTTTACTCTGAATGGCAGTCTCAGGATATAAGAAAGTGGTTCATGAAGCAACATGAGAAAGGTTCTGGGAATGGCAGTACATCAAAGCCATCAAAGCCCTCTCCAGCTGAGAAGCCTCCTGCCTCTCCACAGCCTGAAAAATTGGTCTGTTCTTCAGATTTCTGCTGTCCCATGTGAAACTGTTGTGGTGGATTCTTGTCTTGATGATTTTCTAGCGTTGGCATTTTCTTCTGGGAGATGCAAGTTGATGTGATGTATATCCGATTAATTTTATTCTTCAAATCTGGAATTATTAGATAATTTCAGCTGAACAATAATCGTTTTTCGGGTTTTTTTTGGAAATGGAATGTGAAGATTAGACAATTGGGATGATTGTAAAATCAAATAGCTAAAATTCTGCTTCACTGGAAATTTCATTATTTTGTTGTATGAGCACATGTTATGTGCGTTTGTTTTGCTTTTTCTGTGATCAATGGAAACATGTTAGCATATGCCCCTATATGAAGATAAAGAATGGCATAAGTTGCAGGTCCTGTACTTTTTCTATCTCTAGTTTCATCTCCTTACTCTCTTATTTTTCTATATTGGGGGATCGTAGGTACAAGGAGTTCAAGAATGTTCTTCCGGCCGGAGGAAAACTAGCAAATACTTTGCTAAAGATGAAAGTGAAAAAGATGAGATGGAGGTTGAGGAAGTTACTGCTAAAAAGAAAGCACAAAGGGGTAATACAGAGTCAGCCAGCAATGCAAAGCCCCCACCTGGAAAAAAGGTCCACAAACTTGAGAGTTATGATGACGATGATGATTTTGTTACACCGACTTCAAGGAAGGGTTCAGTCAATACAACCCCAAACAAGAAGCTGAAAAGTGGTAGCGGAAAAGCAGTTGCTAAAAAATTAGTTGATGAAAGTGATGAAGATGATGGTGAAAAAGTAATATCTAATACGAAATCTGCTGGAAGGGGTAGAGGTCGTGGTGTGAAAGGCCCTTCAGCCACATCCACTACTTCAAAAGGCATGGATGTTGATGAAAGTGATGAAGATGATAAAAGTGCTAAAACTATAAACCCTGGTGGTCGTGGTCGTGGTGGAAAAAGTGCACCGGCAGGTGGCAGAGGCAGAGGTGGTGGTGGTAGGGGTGGGTTTATGAACTTTGGTGAGAGAAAAGATCCTCCTCATAAAGGAGAGAAGGTAAAAAGTAAAAGGAGTTATTAACTTTTGTTTTTCTTCTTGAAATGCCATTTGCGGCCATTTAATATTTAGTTTCTCGTGTATCAGGAAGTTCCTGAAGGCGCTCCTGACTGTTTGGATGGTTTGACTTTTGTGATTAGTGGAACACT